TAAAAAGGATTGAACCCATTCCCAAATCCTGTGTAAACACATAATATCATTGACAAACAAACAAAACAAAACAAAGGCAAAGTCTTCTCATGCTTTGTTGATTTCAAAAAAGCTTTTGACTCAATTTGGCATAAGGGTCTGCTAATCAAATTGATGGAAAGTGGGGTTGGGGGAAAAACATACGACATCATAAAATCCATGTACACAAACCACAAGTGTGCGGTTAAAATTGGCAAAAAACACACACATTTCCTTCCACAGGGCCGTGGGGTGAGACAGGGATGCAGTTTAAGCCCTACACTCTTCAACATATATTTCAACGAGTTGGCGAGAGCACAAGAACAGTCTGCAGCACCCGGCCTCACCTTACTAGAATCTGAAGTCAAACTTTTACTGTTTGCTGATGATCTGGTGCTTCTGTCACCAACCAAGGAGGGCCTACAGCAGCACCTAGATCTTCTGCACAGATTCTGTCAGACCTGGGCCCTGACAGTAAATCTCAGTAAGACAAAAATAATGGTGTTCCAAAAAAGGTCCAGTTGCCAGGACCACAAATACAAATTCCATCTAGACACCGTTGCCCTAGAGCACACAAAAAACTATACATACCTCGGCCTAAACATCAGTGCCACAGGTAACTTCCACAAAGCTGTGAACGATCTGAGAGACAAAGCAAGAAGGGTCTGGTATACCATCAAAAGGAACATAAAATTCGACATACCAATTAGGATCTGGCTAAAAATACTTGAATCATTTATAGAACCCATTGCCCTTTATGGTTGTGAGGTCTGGGGTTCACACAACAACCAATAATTCACAAAATGGGACAAACACCAATTTGAGACTCTGCATGCAGATTTCTGCAAAAATATCCTCTTTGTTCAACGAAAAACACCAAATAATGCAGGCAGAGCAGAATTAGGGCGATACCCGGTAATTATCAAAATCCAGAAAAGAGCCATTAAATTCTATAACCACTGAAAAGGAAGCGATTCCCAAACCTTCCATAACAAAGCCATCTCCTTCAGAGAGATGAACTTGGAGAAGAGTCCCCTAAGTAAGCTGGTCCTGGGACTCTGTTCACAAACACAAATAGACCCCACAGAGCCCCAGGACAACAACACAATTAGCCCCAACCAAATCATGAGAAAACAAAAATAGAATTACTTGACACATTGGAAAGAATTAACAAAAAAACAGAGCAAACTAGAATGCTATTTGGCCCTAAACATAGAGTACACAGTGGCAGAATACCTGACCACTATGACTGACCCAAACTTAAGGAAAGCTTCGACTATGTACAGACTCAGTGAGCATAGCCTTGCTATTGAGAAAGGCCGCCGTAGGCAGACCTGGCTCTCAAGAGAAGACAGGTTATGTGCACACTGCCCACAAAATGAGGTGGAAACTGAGCTGCACTTCCTAACCTCCTGCCAAATGTATGACCATATTAGAGACACATATTTACCTCAGATTACAGAGATTTGATAAACTCCCTTATCTACTGGGTGAAAAACCACAGTGTGCCATCACAACAGCAAGATTTGTGACCTGTTGCCACAAAAAAAGGGCAACCAGTGAAGAACAAAAACCATTGTAAATACAACCCATATTTATTTTTATTTATTTTCCCATTCGAACTTTAACTATTTGCACATTGTTACAACACTGTATATATACATAATATGACATTTGAAATGTCTTTATTCTTTTGGAACTTTTGTGAGTGTAACGTTTACTGTTAATTGTTTATTTCACTTTAGTTTATCATCTATTTCATTTGCTTTGGCAAAGTTAACATACGTTTCCCATGACAATAACGCCCTTAAATTGAATTGAATTGAGAGAGCGAGAGAGAGAGAGAGAGAGAGAGAGAGAGGGAGAGAGAGAGAGGGGGGGGGAGAGAGAGAGAGAGAGAGAGAGAGAGAGAGAGAGAGAGAGCGAGAGCGAGAGAGAGAGAGAGAGAGTCATCTAGTGTCACAGAGCACCCACCTCCCCATCTCTCTCTCTCTCTCTCTCTTTTGTTCTCTCTGTATTGGCATTGGAATGTGACTGCAGAACTTTTGGAGCATTAGCAGTCTCTGCCTCCCTCTCACACACACACACACTCCTTTACCCGTCTCTCTCTCTCTCTCAATTCAATTTAAGAGCTTCATTGGCATGGGAAACATATGTTTACATTGCCAAATCAGTGAAATAGTTTCTCTCTCTCTCTCTCTCTCTCTCTCTCTCTCTCTCTCTCTCTCTCTCTCTCTCTCTCTCTCTCTCTCTCTCTCTCTCTCTCTCTCTCTCTCTCACTCTCTCACTCTCTGTCCCCCACACACATGCAAAATGTGTTGAATAAATGAGCATGTATAAATGTCATTGGGAGTGAAACTTTGAACCTTGTTGGCTGAGAGACAGGACATCAAAGTTATACAGGCTCACAACAGAGAGAAGGATGCTCCTACAGTGAAGAGATAGCACTTCTCTGTCTCTCTCTTTCGCTTAATTCTTCTTG